GGACAGAAAAAAAAGGTGGTTAGTTTACTGTTGTCAAAATTGAGTAAGGGTTCCACTTTCGAAATTATGCCTAACTGAAATGACGAGATTTGATAAACAGGTTGAGAAGCTCATGGATTTAAAAAGATCGAAATTTTATGAGTAGAAAAGTGAAAATATTGCCTTTAAAGAATGTTATATACTTTTCAGTTTAAAATGGAAATGATAGAGCTAAAAAGTAAGTAGGAAAAGGTTTATGTATGTATTCCTAGAGCAAAATTATACATTAAATTCAGAAAAATGGGCAAAATTAAAAGATAACGTTGCTTCTTTATATTCTGTTTGTGATAAAAATTTCAATTTCAAATCAGAAAAGAAAATCAATTTCGGAAAATGTAAAGATAAGATCAAAATAGAGTGTAAAGTTATAAGTAGTTGGATATTATGTGAAAATTCCATCCATTCTTTAATTTTTATTAAAATATTAGAGATTTAAGAGCCTGAAATGTTGAGAAGTAAAATAGATAATGGGAATCATTGACCATTTATGCGATCAAATATTTTATATTCGACTTGTTGTTTCTCTTTCTCTCTTTCTCTCCTAAGGGTAGTACTTTTTAATTTCACTCAAATAATTTAAAACTGAAATGAAATCTTCTTCAACTGGAAATTGATAATTTATTTGTTCATTCTAAGCAATTTTTTTTTCAAATTAAAAAATTTTCAATTTTAGCCATCAGAACATGCCTGATAATATATTAATTTCTTTTTTAAATTATTATATAGTATATTAAATATTATATGACGTATTAAAATTTCTTTTTAGATTAAAAAATTTTTAATTTTGACCATCAGAACATGCTTGATTATACATTATATAATATAATAAAATTTCGATCTATCTGGTCTTTGAGCTTGTCAACCTGTCCATTAAATCTCGTTATTTCGGTTAGGCGTACTTTTGAAAGGAACTCTTGCTCAAAATGGAACTCTTACTTAGTTTTGACAACAGTAGATTATCCATAATCTGAAATAATTTGAAATTGAAATGAAATTCTCGTCAACTGGAAATTGATAATTACTTGCTCGTCCTAAGCGATTTTTTTTTTAAATTAAAAAGTTTCCAATTTTCATTGCAACTTCAACATTGAATAATTGATTCATCCATAAGACTAAAGACGGATCTTTCTCAAAACTTTTACAAAATGTTTCATTGATGTATGAAAGAAGGCGAATAAAATTTGCGTAGTTATAAATTACTCTTTTAAAAATGAAAAAAAAAAAATTAGATATAATTGTTGATAATGACTATAACATTTGGAAAGAAAGGAAATTTATAAGTTTTTTCGGTACTCTAATATGAAGCTATTTTTGTTCATTATAACTTTCGGTTCCATTGGTTATTTTTAGTTTCTCGGAACAACAGTATGCCGGAAAAGCATTTTACTTCTGCTATTGTTACTGAATCGAACCGGGCATAAAAACAACCAATGTAAATGTTATTTAACCCGTTAAACTCCGGAATCAATTCCATTCCATAAGTGGTTGTTGAGGAGGAGATGCCAGGAAATGGATCGAGTTTCGTCGCAAGCATTCCATCTGCTTGTTATTTTAGATGGATGATGATGATGATGACAATGATGTTGGTGATGACAATGATATTGATGAAACAAAAGTCAAACTATTACATTCCAGGCATTTATTCAACAAACTATGGAAATAAACAGAATAATTTGACGGTATTTAGGATTCTTATACTTTATGATATTCATTATATAGTCGTATTAGGATTACAAAAATTTCACTCCAAGTTATTGATACTAAATTATTCCTTGTGAAACAATGAAGTTAAAATTATTAAAATCAACTCCGTAAATCCTTTAATTCATAAATCCGTTGAAGAACAGTTTTCATTAACAATTTAATTATAAAAACGCATAAAATAGTATGTGATTAATTAATGAAAAGTGTTTAAAAACATCGATAAGTAAATCATATCTCAACGGTTATGAAAAGACAAATCTATTTCGATGTCTTTTAAAATTTCATTGCATTTCAATATAACTATGCATTTCCGATAATTTACAGAATGTGTAGTAAATGGTTTAGAACAAAAATAAATTTACATATTATCGTTTGTGTCCTACGATAACTTAAGCCAATTGAAATTTTCCTTTTTAAGCAGAAAAGTTTCATGTAAATCAACAGTGCAATCAGTAAATGTATAAAATTGGAAAAAAAAAACTTTCATTGATGTATTTGGCGCAATATTTACCACCTAATCTCATTGTCACTGTAATTGATAATAAATCATGTGTTGCCGGAATTCTTGTCAACGATATGTCAAACTGAAAATGACATAGAGTTTGTTCATTACATATAAAGCACACTTCGAAAAGATGGTTATCGTTCGTTTTTGTACTCCGTGATGTGAACCATTCAGACGTCGGAATTCCTCCTTCTAACACTTCATTTTCATTTATTCTTTTTTTCTTTTTTTTCAATTGCAAATCTATTTGTTAAATCGTTCAGATATAATAGAAAATGTTCTTTACTGAAGCGAAAGTGTTCGTAAGGATCCGAAAATGTCACATTTGAGATTTCTTGAATTTAAGCAGAAGACAGATCTTTTGTGAAGAATCTCCTCAAACGATATAAATGTCAACATAAGAGATTAATGATTACAAGTTTAGCAGAAAATGAACTGAACAAATAACTCTTCATATTATTTCTTGGTATACTAATTTGTTTGCAAAAATTAATATTTTGAATTTGAATTAAAAAAAAAAACTGATCAGAGATTGTCGTTTAGTGCTCAAGACTTTTTCCCATTACTTTATAAGATTTGCTGAATTTAAATAATCGAATAGCGCATTATTTCGAATTATTTATTTAATTTAATTTTTCTTCTTCTTACTTGACCTTGAATTCAGTTTGCAGAAACCATTACTATAATATTTTACGTAGAACACGTGAAGGTTAAGGCATGTTTTTTAATTTGTAGCAGAAGTATAGGAACAGAAAGAAAGCAAGAAAAATGAAGTTTTCTGAAATTATAATTAGTTTAATATAATCTTTCTTTGATTATTCATTCAAAAAAAGCTGATAGCTGCGTGAACAAAAGGACAGTTCTCATTTTAAAAGATTTAATTGAAAATATAATTTTGAAAGATATTTTTCGGAGAAAAGTTTGCATTAAAGCTATTTTTTGATATAATTTTTCCACTACCAAATGAGATTTGCCTTTATAAACTTTAAAGGGAAAAATCTAAAGGCCAAAAGACAAATGCCATTTTTTAGCACTGAAAATTCCAAGCCACAAAATCTTCGTAAGATTCTCGAAAAAACTTCTAGTACATCTATCTTTTACATTTGCTTAATCGCTAAATATAACTGGAACATAATTATCATCCATTTGTTGATGACAAATGATATAACTTAAGATGCTACCCTCATTCTGTATTTTTAAAGCACAATATGTAGACCAAGTATTTGTTAACTGAGCAGTCATTTCTAGAAGAAAATGCTAAATTGTCAAGGTCAAGAAGTCAGGCCCGACACATCCTTTTATAGGTTCATTATCTCTTAATTCAACTGCAAGTCCTAGATCAGATATTCGGACATGGCCTGAAACATAATTACATTACCATTCTCTTGCAGCAACTTATGGAGTGGACATTAAAGATAACAGTAGCTCGAGTCTAGCCGGCTTGT